TCGTTATCAGGGCATCGGATTACCCCTATGGACGAAGTTTCATCGAAAATTAAAATTTTGAGTTTTTGGGGGTGTAATAGTAGAATAGTGCCGAGCATTGTTCGACTCCGCGCAATTAATGAAATTTTAAAACTATTTTTGGCTACGTTGTCTGTAAGCCCTGGTCCAGAAGCATTGTGTCAGAGCTAGGGAAACTACAGACAAAAGAATCAGAAGTATTGTAATGAATACCGTAGAAAAGATTCGTAAGAGCATAAAATCAATAAAGAAACGAACCCGAATTCTGTTCTGAATGTACATATCCAGCCGCTTGATTGCTCGTGCATACTGCGGAAGAAGGATGTTCCCGCCATCTTTAGCGACAACTGTGAGCTGCAAACACCATTCCATAGAATGAGGAGATTGGAAGTCTGTCTTTAACTACGCCAGCTTCATGTCATCAGCCCTGCGGACGTAGTAAGTTAGCTCTGATCACCATCATAGGACTTTTATGGTAACCCTGGAGATCGGGAAGGGACCCATAGTTGTCGACCATGCTACAGGAACAGTCCTGGAGTTTCCTTGCCACAGCTCAGTAGTCATCAGCTCACGCTGATTACGTCAGTGGGGACTGCTGTATTCAGGTCTCGGGGACGCACTTACAGAAAAGCTTGGCGTGGGTCGCACTCCGACTTCCTTCAAAGAGATGGATGTTGATGGGTAAATCAGTCTATTACGGAAATTACTATACGTCATGAATAAAATTAATGTGGATTCCTGAAAATTATTAAAAATATTCTTACACCTCCTCGCAATGGGGTGGGCCGTGGTGCTGAGAATATAGGTGGTGACGCTTACGTCTTAAGTGGACTACTACTCGGCTCTCATTTCAGTGTTAGAACTCTACCCAAAACAATCTACAGACCATTTGAATTCAAGATGAGGTTGAGGATACTATCAAGTCTGTAGGGAATAACTCCGTAGTAGTTATCATTTGATGTGTTCTCTAGTAAATACTTCTTTGCCTTGGCTCTTTTATCATGCGACTAAATAGATCCCACTGAGGATCCGTTAACTCGTGACTCCTGGTGACTCTCAATTACTGCGGAATTCTCAGCACTGGTAATGGAAGGAAAATTGCAGCAGCCTTCACTCATTAACTAACTTAAACCAAGTGAAAAAGCCACACACCTGAGCCTCTCGACTTTGCGTCACAGCTCGACCAGGAACGTAGTTGTCTTCGTTCAGTGGCCACAAGTTGTGGATTATCTGAGATTTTTAGGCTGATTTGAGAAGAAATCCGTGACTGATTGTAAAAGAAACAACCATAAGAATAAGAACAGTCCGTTTGTGTTTTCGAAAAAAAAATCTGCGATTTTCTGCACTGTTCTGGCAAGAAGAGAAACGATTGCACATGAAACTTGCCTGCCGTTCCGTTTTCGACGGTGCATCGGTTGGCGTGTAGAGGTAGATTGCATCCGTAGTCGGGGTCAAATAGAAGAATCCTTAAGGAAAGTCGTAGTAAGGGTTAAAGAGGAACATTCTGCTGACTGTTGTATTTGTAAAAAATCAAAAAAAAATTCAATGTGCAAGTGGTTATAAAGATTGGTAAAATTGGGAAATTTCAAAGTCTTATATATCTAACAGCTTTTCCGTGATGGATCTTATGACATTATTTCCCCGATGCTGAATCCAAAATCTACCTAAGAGTTCTTAAAGAAGCCTGCTCCACCAATACGGAAAGTTCCAAAAACAGCATAACACAAGTATTTGAAATTAGAAATACAAATAGAAGAGACAAGCCATTTGAAGGGAGGACTTTCCATTTTTCTATTGAGCCAACTCAAAGCTATGAGTCAAGTTCGAAGCTTTTGTTTTTAGAACAAGCACGACTTTTCATAGCACGGCTAAATTTACGATGGTGCATACCTGTGGACAAATAGAGGGCGATCAGAACTGGAAACGCAATGAATGGGAACGGATGCCGTGAGACAAAAGAGCCGTACCAATGGAAGAACCGGGCCAGCGGTCGTTCCACGCAACCAAATTCTAGCATTCTAGTCTTCTGCTTCTGGACAGACTCTCAACTGCGCATCTGAATCAAATCATATGATGAGAGAGAATCTTCGTAGAATCTTTCAAGAGAAATAGACGCCCAAATTCAGAACAACAGGATTGAGCAACAATAAGTAGTGGAAGTGTTCAGATCGTGGTCTGATTATGAGGGGAGCCCAAAAAATTCGGAGCTACTGGATGGGTGCTACAAGTGAAGTCTATAGTAGGAAACATATGCATAATAAAAAGGGTTGATACATGAAAAAGGAAAGCACGTGAAACGATTCGGCAGCAAATATACCTTGACAGGAAACTCAGATGTTACTACAACCCCAAAGCGAAGAAAGTAGTGCACAGCATTCTACATCCCAGTTGCCACTTTCATTTCGTGGTTGTCTTATAGTTGGTACTAACCAGCAACTCATTTTTGTCTTTCTATTTATGACCATTTGAGAGCGACAGAAATGCGGAAATGAGAATGGACATTTCCCAAAAAAAAGCTCTTCACTGTTCTTTGCGAACACAGCTATTTGGTGGTGTTTTGTGAGGTTGCACTTTTCCGATGGCGGTATTAGGACCCGAGTTCCTACGGAAGCGCCAGCTGTTTCGACTATCGTAACCTTCAACTGGGAATTCGGATCATTCCCTTCCTTCAGAGTAGGTAGTCGGATTCGACGAGTTCTGCACATCTTTCGAGTGCAAAATACCACTCCCATTCTCCTTCCTACACATCATTCTACTCTTCATCGTGAAGTGTTGGTAAGGAGTTCTTTTAAAAAAGGAAATATTTGTCAAAAATAAAAGAGCTCTCACAAAATATAAAGAAGTACACATTCTCTTAGAATATTTTCGATTTTACTGGTTCGAACAAATGTCAATTTTTTTGTTGCCGCCAAGAGAATTCGGCGATCGAGCTGATTAAGGAAGGATCGGTTCCAAATTCTCAACGCGCAAAGGATACACCCTTCAGTGAAACTTATATGGATGCAATTACGATTACACTAGGAACAAACAACAACCAGGAAACGTAAGAAATGGAAATAGCATAAAAGGAATGAATTTTGATCATATAAAAAGCAAGGGATCATTCGCAAATACAGCAATAAAAGTGAAGTCTCGAAGTCTGCTGACGTCGTTTGGGGAATGAGCCTAGCTTCACTCCAACGCAAAATTGTTGTGTCAGTCCGGATGTCTGTGCAGCCAAGCCAGGGCTTTTCCGTGCCGGACGAGTCCGGTACCGATTAAATGACCTCGAAGAGGTTTGAATCCAGGCTAGCCTCAATTGTTTGCAAACCAGGATTTGATCCCATGCCGTGCGTGCCACTTGGTTTCCCACAACCACCGCTCATGGGGAAAGGGGTTAATGGGCAGTTCATTCAGTACAATATCGTTTATAAATGAATTGTGACGAAAGCCCTCGTTGGATGATGCTGCGTCATACAATGAGATGGCTCTTCGCTCTGAACATTTATGTGGTTTGCTCAAAGTCAACTGAAGGTAGTACTGAGGCCGACGATACTGCTAGCCATAGCCATTCACGCCCTGCAGGTTTGATTCCCACAAAGATGCTTGCAGTTTCAACAGCTCACCCAACAGCTCCTCTAGAGTGTAATCGGTCTTGGGCACTTAAGCAATTCAGGAGGCAGGGATTTCATCACCTTCAGATCCCGAAATTGCACTTAATTCTGATATCGGTTCCCTAAGGCTAAAACATCAGTTGGATAAACCCCAATAAAAGGGATCGGATGAACAATCATCGGAGATCGATTTTTCCCATTGACATCTGAATCGAATGGGTGAGAGCGATTGGCTTTGAAAGGTCAATCTAAGGAGAATCGTTGAGGCACAAAAAATTACACCGGAATTGAAGAAGGAACCAAAAGACATCCCAAGATTTGAGTAGACATAGGGAAGATTTTTTATCAGAAAAAAGAATGAAGTCTTAAGGTCTTTCCAGTCATCGATCTTCAACTCTGAATGAAGGCCTACGCATAAAACTGCGTCAAGTAGGTGCTGAAAGGAGTGGCAGCGCAGCAGCACAGTGGCACAATTACAGACAAAGAAGATCGACGCTCCTCAATAAAATCGAATGCGATTAGATCGCAAAGCAAAGAGAATGTGTAGGATGACCTCATTGGCACGATTCCCCTGCTATGATACAGTTGCCGAAAGTGGCCGTTGTGGTTCAAGGTGGAACCAATGAAGGAGCCTGTTCGTCAGAGAGGAAGTTTACCTGACTGACCGACATCTGAGGCGACTTCAGGCAGTAAGCCCNCCCCCCCCCCCCTTCCACCGAAGCCTTCACATTGCCCTGCGCCAACTAAGATTGCCTATTTTCCTCCCGCTATTGAACCGTGTCCAACTTCAGAAAATATAAAGCAGATGGGTTAGTGTCAAGTAAGATTCCATCTAGATTTGGCTGACCTCGTTAGAAAAAAGGCGCGACGTAAATACGCATGACAGAACGGTGTAAATATAAATCAAAGAAACAAAAACTCTGATGGAATGCGGAGCAGAAGGATCGATATAGCGCTTCGCTAAAAAGGTCAGAAGGGGGTTTTTGCGATGTGTTTCACAAGAAAGGAGGGGCGTGATTCGGGGTTGAATCAATTAACTGGGTCAAGCACTGATTATTGTCGTTGGCGGTCGCAACAAGATACGACCGGGGCCATCATTGCGGAACGTCCAGATCTTCCTCAGTGAGATACTACTAACTGGGTCATTCAGTAGTCAATCACATCGGCAAAAAAAAGTCATCAAGCAAGTTCGAAGTAGTAGCTAAGTGACATACTTCACCCGAGAACTATTGCAAACATTCAGATGATGGTCATGGGATCCACTAGAGTAACTCTTGGCCAGAGCCTAAAAAATTGGCGATAAGAGAGTTATAGACCGTTAATAGGGTGTTTAGGAGTCCCGTTCCCCAATCCAGTCATTTCCAACATACCAATTTTGCGATGGTGACATAAACTTTCGCGAAGAAGTTCTCGACTAAATTTTAGCATCAAAATTTTGAGTTCTTACTCACAGGACTAGCAGAAGCAGAAACAATCCCTCTCAAACCTTAAGCTCTGGAGACTGCCAAAAGCATCGAAAGAACTCAGCTCTGGTCCATCTCACCCATATACTCGAGTTATTCAATTCAAGATTCATAGGTGGAGCAATTTACTGATCCCTCTGAGAGTTCGTGATTAGCAATGCCAAAATCTTTCAAGCACGAGTCCAATCAATTAATGAAAATTAA